ATTCAAACGTACAAATTTTACTAGCCAAAACACCCGGCTCGAGCAATCGCAATCTGCGCAATAACAGCACACAAATTTACAGCGTAATCACTTAATCACAACAACGCGATACTCGCCTCAGCCCGTTTCACTAGCTCCGGGCTTCCGCGTAACTCGTGCCAAATGTGTTGACGACACAATGATGACGAAACTCAAATATGTCCCATGCAACTAAAATTTTCCCTTTTTCAGCTTTTTCCACGGCTCTCGCTCGCTACTCCGCGAATTCGCCGAAAAGCGCTGATCGGCCGAGACACCACACTGTTCAAAACTTAACACAAAGGGAATTATCGCGATCACCTCTTTCCAACCAGAACAAAGCGATGCGAACAACGAAAACCTGCCGAGATTAAACAAGGGATGCCATGCAAGAGTAGTCAGCCTCCGTGCGCCATGGGCTGGTCTCTGCTAATTTTTCTAGGTTCTATCTCGGTAAAGAAAGCCGGCGCTGACTTTCACAGGCCGAAGTTCGCGCTGGCTGGGAAAGGTTGATACGAAGAAACGGACACTCTACTTCAATGACATTACATATGGCGATCTCATTTATTGACGCCTTTTCAGAAATATCGCTACAAAATTAACTTCGCCGCGGCGAGCGCGCTCGCTCAGCCTTTCCGCGACAAGAGTTCGCGAGATCACGCGAGCGAGATCGCTCAGCGTGCGCGATAAAATCAAAACACGCTAATGTCCGAAATCGAGCGAGAGCTGGCGCGAGAGAGATAAACAGGCTTTCGACCCACCGGATGCCGACGGTCCGTCGGCAGAGAGACGACGCCGGCGAAAGCGCAGGCCCGCTGGAAGCGGCGCCCTGGCGATGGCTGGGACTGCTGCAGAAGAGGCCGCAGCACGGCCTTTGCCCCGGGGACGGCGAATGGTCGCTGCGTGTCCGGGCTCGGCTTGGACCTTCTGGCTCTCATGCCAAATGGCAGTCGCACTTCTGGCAGTCGTTCCTCTCTGGCCGAAATGTCCTCTCGTTCAGACTCTCCTTAGGCGGCCCTAATTACTCGAGAGCTCGCGCCTAACTGCCCTTCTTCTCTCTTAATTTTCCAAGCCTCGCGCCGCCGCGCTCCCACTTCTCTCGCCGTCAAAAATCAGTCAAAATCACTCTCCCTCTCTCTCGCTCTTCTCGCTCTCACTCGCACTCACGGCGACACCTCGCCGATCGTCGCGCTCCTCCCTCCAGATCCTGCAACGACACAAGTATGTAGTCGCTATATAGCGTACACTTGGTCGCTGCGTTCATGCGAGGAGAGTGCCGCACACAGGGCCAGCGAGCATCGCTATAGCCCTGTCACACATTATGATCGAAAAGAAATGGTTCCGTTTATTATATATGCTGATTTAGAGTGCTTATTGAAACCAGTAAATAATGGACGATCCTTCCAAGATCATAAAGCCTTTAGTATAGGGCTTTATATAAAATGTAGTTATGATGATTCCAAATCAGTCTTTAAGATGTATAGAAAAAAACTGAATGAAGAACAATCACCCGCACAATAGATTATCAAACAATTTTAGATTTTGTTAGATGAAATGCATCAAATATATAAGAATGCTGTAGAAATGAATCTTTTATGGCGTAATCAAATGGATTTCAAGATGAGCAAAGTGTATCATATTTGTAGAAAATATTTTCAAAGTGATGAAACAAGAGTTAGAGATCATTGTCATTTGACGGGCCGATTTAGAGGTGCTGCTCAGGCATCCTGTAATTTAAATTATAAGAATCCTTATTTTATACCAGTCGTCTTCCATAACCTTACTGGATATGTTTCTCATTTTATAATAAAAGAAATAACTACTAGCTCTGATCTTAAGAAAATGTGACTGTTTTAGATGAAAACAAGGAAAGATATATAGCTTTCACAAAACACGTGGACGGTAGTACTATAAATTTTTGATTTATTGATTCGTTTCGTTTTATGCCATCATCTCTCGAAAAACTGGCTTCATACTTAACCAAACTAAATATCGTAGAGCATGAATTCAAGATAGATAAATATACAAAAACATAAATAGAATTATTGAAGAGAAAAGGCGTTTTTCCATATGAGTATGTTAAAAGTTTTGAAAGATTAAATTACCACCTATCGAACATTTTCATAGTTAATTGATAGATAGCAACATCTCTGAACTTGTATGGATACGTATCAACTCGACCCAGCACACTAATATACTACTCCTGGATTAACATGGGATGCTATGTTAAAGTGTACAAAAATTGAGCTAGAACTTCTAACCGATATAGACATGGTTTTATTCATCCAAAAAGGTGTTCGAGGAGGTATTAGTCAATGCTGTAATAGATATTCAAAAGCTAATAATCGATATATGAGCTCAGAATATAATGGAAAAGAACCTAGCAAGACTTTGATGTACTTTGATGTTAACAATTTATATGGATGGGCGATGACGCAATCATTACCATATAAAAATTTTAAATGGGTCTCTAACATCGATGAGCCTCATTTTTTCAATGTTTCCGATAATAATGAGGTTGGATATATTTTAGAAGTTGATCTAGAGTATCCAACAGAACTACACGAAGAACATAAGGACCTTCCACTTTGTCCTGAAAATAACACACCACCCGGATCAAGACAAAAAAAACTTTTAACAACACTGTATATTAAAGAACGGTATGTCATTCATTATAGAGCGCTAACGCAGGCTATTTAATACGGACTCAAAATAAAACAAATACACAGAGCACTTCAGTTTAATCAAAAGCCTTGGCTTAAAACTTATGTAGATTTGAATACGGAAAAAAGAAAACAAGCTAAAAATGAATTTGAAAAGTTATTCTTTAAACTCATGAGTAATGCAGTATACGGAAATACTATGGAGGATGAAAGGAAACGAAAAGACGTAAAATTAATTAGTGCATGAAGAGCGAGGTATGGAGCAGAAGCACGGATCGCCCAACCCAACTTTCATAGTAGTTCAATCTTTGATGAAAATTTAGTAGCAATACAGTTATCATGGACGTCTATTAGTATTAAAAAACCAATATATATTGGACTTTGTGTGCTAAATATCTCAAAAACATTAGTATATGACTTCCACTATGGCTACATAAAAGAAAGATTACCTCATAAAGCAAAATTACTTTATACTGATACGGATAGCCTCGTATATGAATTTCAAGATGTTGATATATATGAAATAATGAAAGAAGATTTCAATAAATTTAATACATCAGATTACTCAGAAAATAATCAGTTTAATATGCCGTTAGTTAATAAAAAAGTTCTCGGTATTATGAAAGATGAATGCAATGGTATTTAATATTATGAGAGAATTCATTGGGTTTCGAAGTAAAATGTATAGTATACTAACAGAAAACCATCAAGCAATAAAGAAAGCAAAAGGCGTAGAAACACATACTGTCATAAAAACAATAGATCATGAAGATTTTCGAAACTGTTTATTGGATTTAGAAATTATTAGGCGTGAGCAATGCAATATACGAAGTGTATTGCACCAAGTAAGAACAGAAAGAGTGCAGAAAGTAGCACTAAGTCCATATGATGATAAACGATGTATATTCGATAAAGATCCTGATACACTTCCGTGGGGTCATTACAAAACTATTGAAACGTCATAGCTTAAAATCAAGAGTGCGGAACAACGAAGGAAAAGAAAGATCATAGAAATGGAAGAAAATCCTCAAGAAAGTTGTAAGCTTCTGCCTATGCTCTCATGTTGTCCTGTTTTTCAGTGGCTATATCGTCAAAAATCATGATGGAATTTGGATTAGCTTTATCCGGTGAAACAACTACCTCATGCTCGCTGAATGCATAATACTGTATACCATCAATCGGTTCAAATAAATCTTTTAAAATCTTATACTTTGGTTGATTGAGGGACTTTGAATAAACATAAACGTTTTCGAATCTAAGTCCATTAGGATGTATGATTAGTGTTAGCAAACAGTTAGTTTTCCCACAGTTACTAGGACCACAGAAAACTGCTCGTATACTGTCAGGCAGGAGTTCACCATGTCTTTTTTCTCGTTTTTCCGTCTCAACCACATTATCAAAATTTATGACTTGCAACTTAAGTGGTTGCTCTTTGAAGTCCATATTGTTTTCTAGTCACCGATCGAACGACGAATGAGACTACTAACTACAAAGACTATTTATATATTTTTTAGTTTCATTAAGACTGTCTTCTGATGAGGTATGATCATTTGTCACAAAAGAAAGACTGATGGTGCTGGCTTAGTGAATAAGATCATTAATAACTTACCATTCGAAGCTAATTTGCCTGGTTATCAGTATTGCGGGCCGGGAACTAAATTGAAAAAACGACTTGCTCGTGGTGATCCTGGAAAAAGTCCGCTAGACGCTGCTTGTAGAGAACACGATATTGCTTATTCTCAGAATCGAGAGAACATTGAGGCGAGAAACGAAGCCGACAAAATTCTAGCTAAACAGGCCTGGGATAGAGTGCAAGCGAAAGAAAGTAGTTTTGGTGAGAAAGTTTCTCTGTTTGCTGTAGCCAACATAATGAAAGTTAAAAGTAAACTTGGTATGTGTGTTAAAATTTTAAAACGAGGAAAGAAACGAGGTAAGGGATTAAAAAATCGTCAACAACAACGACATCGACGAAAGACACATGTAAAAAGTAAAAATCTATCAATTACATTGAAAAAAATTATTAACGCTGCCTCGTGAAATGTTGTACCTAGTAATAAAGCACTCTTTGTCATTCGTTTGGCTATAAAAGGCGCTAAAGAAGCTGTGAAGAAGACTAGAGAAAGAAGAAAAATAAATATGCCTCGTATTCTACCAATTCCCAGTAAAGTGGGTGGAGCTCGTCCTTTTTTAATTCCATTATTTGCCACTTTGAACGCCACTGGAACTTTAGCTGGAGGAGCTGCTTCAATAGCAAAAGCCGTTAACATTGCTAAGGCCGCTCAAAATTAATTGAAAGAAGCTCATAGACACAATAAAACTATGGAAGCTATTGTTATTGGTAAATGACTTTATTTGAAACCACTTCGTAAAGGTTGTGGTCATCATCTGAAACTATATTCAAGTGGAAAAGGTTTAAAAAAAAAGCTCGAAGTAACTTTACCTAATCGAGCATTGACAGATCATGATATAAGAAAATATGCTAAAATACTGAAAAATTGCAAATTTTCGAGGTGTTTTCATGCGTGATGCTCTACCGACCGATGGACCTCGATATTAAGAGACAGCTATTGTAAATTTAGATAATAAACGTGACCAGGTACTCATTGGGTAGCATATAAAAAGAAAGGTGATGAGGTTATGTATTTTGATAGTTTTGGTAATCTACAGCCGCCTATAGATCTATTGCTTTATCTCAAAGTTAATAGAATCATGTATAATTATATTAGATAGCAAGATTTTAATACATATAATTGCGGCCATCTTTGTCTCAAATTTCTTTTAAACAAACTATGGAAAAGACAACTAGTATAAAAAATACTCATTCGACGAATAACTATCATTTGATAGGAATCTGTCATGGAGAATACACTGACATTGAGTCTCTTGAGAACATCATCGGTACTCGAATTATATTATTTTTCAGCGATCGAATTGATACCAAACAAAAAATACGTTCTTGGTCTAGTTGAACTATTAACAATTAATTCAATACCAAACATTGACGTTGGTTATAATAACTTTTACATTGAAGGTCAAGAAGCAATCACTTTACCGACTGGTAGCTACGAAATAGAAGATATTGAAAGCTTTCTCAAAGAAGCATTAGCACCAACAGGTATATCGTTTAGTCTGAAACCAAATAATAATACTTTACGTAGTGTCATTCAGTGCAGTCAAAAAATACATTTTTAACCAGAAGATTCTATTGGATCAATTGTAGGCTTCACTAAACGCACGCTCGTTGAAAAACATAGTTAGACTTACCCGTCACTATACTCAAAGTCAACGCTTTACGTGTATAGTGTAATATTACTACAGGCTCTTACATAAACGATCGCAAAGTACATACTATACATAAATTTTTCCCAGCAGTCTCACCTAGATATAAGATTATAGAAGTTCCCTCTCACGTCATTTACCTTCCAGTCGCTGTGAGGAGCATTGATCATTTTCAAATTCGTATAGTTCATCAAGACGGAAACCTAGTTAACTTTCGAGGAGAAGTCATCACAGTGCGAGTACATATAAAGACCATATCTTACTAATGGGTATCATTTACAATATAAAGAGCGGCCGAGGCTATATTAAAAGACAAAAATGTCAAACAGCAGCCAGTCGACAGCGAGCTATCAGACCGCTCACACCTCAGAACATTCAATTCCTGAAAAGCTTGAGACTAAAAGTCGTCGAAAATCGTGGAAGAAAATATTGTGCATATAAGTGTGTTGTATAAAACAACAACAACAACAACAACAATATGGAGGGAATTCTAGACATTCATTCAGCTGTCGCTTTCGATGAGTCTATAGCTCATTGTGAAGTTCATGCGCATCAGCCTTATTCATTATCATATTTCAATAATAATGATGAAATCCATATAGCAATTCAACATCAAGATTTATCTCTGTTTCCATCACGCAGTATGATTCATGTTTGTGGTAGGTTGACCAAGCCAGACGGTACTACGTCAGTGGAGAACACTTTATTAGTCAACAACGCCATCTGTCATTTGTTCGAGGAAACACGATACGCAATAAATGCTATTGAAATTGATAAAGTGAAAAATGTAGGCTTAACAACCCTCATGAAAAATTGGCTTTCAATCAATCCATGTCAGAGCTCTATCGCTGAAAATGCCGGATGGAATGGTTATAACAATGAAGTTTTAATATGTAATGCTCTAGGTTTTTTTTATGTGACTATCCCTCTCAGTATGTTGATGGGCTTTGCTGAAGATTATCGGAAAATTGTAGTCAATGTCAAGCATGAACTTATTCTCACAAGATCAAGAGATGATTTGAATGCTATTTTAAGTATTCTAGTAAGGAATCCTGATGCTTCAGAAAAATCAAAAATTACTTTAACTAAGGTTGAATGGTTGATGCCATATGTGATGGTTGCAGACAAAGAAAAAATCAAATTACTCAATCAGATTGGACGAGATTGTGCAATTACAATGAGTTATCGTACTTGGAAAATGTATGAGTATCCAAAATTACCACGTACATCAAATCATATTTGTAGCGTTAAAACTTTCAATCAATTGGAGAAGCCTCGCTTTGTTATTGTTTTTTTAGCTTTTCAAACTAAACGTAAAAGTTCAGCGAGTGTTAATTCAAGTAATTTTGATCATTGTAATATTAGTAATGTGAAGCTATTCCTCAATTCACAATGCTATCCGTATGAAGATTTCAATTTAATTATCAATCAAAATCAGTACGCTGTTATCTGCGATATGTATACTAATTTTCAAAACGCTTATTATGGTAAAGAAAACGAGCCGTTACTCAATAAAAAAGATTTAATTAATAAAATGCCGCTATTAGTTATAGACTGCTCCAAACAAAATGAAACATTAAAAAGCACGCCAGTCGTTGTTCGCCTAGAATTTAAAACTCAGACTGATTTTCCTGAAGATACTGCAGCCTACTGCTTAATATTACACGATCGTATTGTACATTATATCCAATTAGTAGTGATGTTAAAAAATTAGTTTGAAATTAACAAGACATGTAATCAATTTATACAATGCTTTTCAATAAAAAAGAAAATAAAATATATATATTGTTGGAATTTAATAAAAACTACCTATAATCATACTATATAGTGACTATGACGCCCTATACTTTCGAATGGTGAGGTATGGTGACTATGACGCCCTCTACTTTCGAATAGTGAGGTATAGGCTTTATATAGAACAAACACGTGCCGCTACTCTCATAACTGTTTTAGGAACTAGTAGAGTTCACGTTAACTTCAACATCTTTTCAAATGGATTTCGTAATAGATTTTCAAGGCTTTCAAAGTTTTAAGGAGACTTTTGTCTGTAAAGAACTCGCATATCTACCATTAGATATAGATACTGTTCCAATTGTGTTTTTCTTCGAACCACCATATCATTGGTTTCAACTTCCTTTCAAGTGTCGAAAAGTGAATCATTTCTTAGAAACGTGTCATCATGGTTTATTATGGAGATCCGGTCTTATTCCATATAAAAATTTAGCACGTGTACTAAACAATCATTTAAATAATTCTAGAAATATTTATGTAAAAGGACTAAAAAAGAAACAATGGTTACAAAAAATTTTACTTGAAAAATAAGTATTTTTGTTTTTTTTTGTTAGAAATTAAAATCATTATTAATTAAAAATTTTTTTCCTTTTTTAGAAAAATTTTAGAACTTGAAAGCGAGATGAGATGTCCACCAATGAGCGCACTACCTTACCCATTAGAAACAATATGTACATATCATTACAATAAACCAGCTAACTTTGTATGTGCCGTTACAGATGCACAAGATTGTTTTTATGGATAAAAGCTAGACGGAAGCAATCTCAAATGGAAGGTATGGATGAAGTTGATAATATTACATATAAATATTCAACTCAATATTTCAATATAGCGATGTCAACTACTGAAAATAAAGATTATAGACATACTGTATTATATTTAATGTATAGTTGAATGAACAATAAATTAATAATTAAACGAAAATTCTATAAGTTTTATTAATTAATATTCAAATAAAATCAACTGTGAGGTTGAAAGGTTCCCGAAATCTAATGAAACTACTATAGCGCTTGCTTAGAGAAAGAGAGAGAGAGAGAGAGAGCAGCATATAGCTTACCAAGCTATATGCTATCCTCTCTCCAAGGGCCCACATGCCCTCCTATCGAAGGAGAGCGAGAGAGAGATAGAGAGAGCGAGAGAGAGATAGAGAGAGAGAGAGAGAGAGAGAGAGAGAGAGAGAGAGAGCAGCATCCTCACTAAACAGCGTATGCGCCTAGCAAGCTAGAGACGCTACCCCCTCTCCAAGGGCTATACTGTGCACGCTCCTAGTAAGCAGCTAAAGACGGTACCCTCTCTCCAAGGTCTATACGGCGTACGCACCTAGCAAGCTAGAGACGCTACCCCCTCTCCGAGGGCCCACACTCAGCCAGCTTAAGCGCCCTACTATCGAAGGAGAGCGAGAGAGAGGGATAGAGAGAGAGAGAGAGAGAGAGACAATCATATAGTTTACCAAACACTCTACCGACTTCTACAGTATCGTACCTTAACAACCTCTGTAGGTGGGTGGGTGGGTGAGTGGGAGGAGGGGGGACACTGTGGAAGGAGCCCACTGGCACGCAGGAGGTGTCAAACGAAAAACAAATGCCTTTTAAACACTCAGCATGGGGTCTGACCATATATTAAAAGGTGTCACTACCGTGACACCTTCATAGGGCGGCTCCTTTGTGTCCCAGAACATACACATATCCCTTATACATTAGCGGCATCTTTTGTCGGCTCCTTTGTGTCCCAGAACATACACATATCCCTTTTATACATTAGCGGCATCTTTTGTCGGCTCCTTTGTGTCCCAGAACATACATTGCTTATCTACTAAGTTAACATAGAATAAAATTATAATGATGCGCAATAAAGAGTTCTAATTAATGCGTACTGTGGTGGCCGTGTTCTGGTTAAGACATCAGATTTATAGTTTTGAGGCCGCAAATTCGAGTACCGTTTAAGAGCGAGGTCACATAATTGGGCGGATCTCGCGCGATATGAAATATTTTGATTGAAACAAATAATAAATTCTGTACTCACCGTTTTTCATTTTTATAACCGATTGATTTAAAAAATTTTCCAGCTCTTTCATGTGCGATTATGCTGGGACCGCGATTGGGTAGATATGACCATGGAACAGACCCATTACCACTTGGTTGCCCAGTTAACGCTATAATGGGCTTATTTGTGTTATGGTAATAGTTTACATTTCTTTCTTTTCTTACGGTAATTAACTAATAATCACTCTTATATTTTTTATCAGGTGGGGTTGGTTAGCATTTAATAGCGGCAGCACATACGGGGTAAGTGGCATGCGATGGAAGTATGCAGCTAGAGCGGCTCTCACCACAATGCTTGGTAGTATAGGAGGGGGTTTGGTAGGTTTAGCATTCAGCTTGAGTAATCCCAAAGGCATTGATATTCTCAGTCAAATAAATGGTATTTTGGGTGCTTTGGTTGCCATTACTGGTACGTATAATGTGCTAATACTAATTTGAATTTTGAATGCAACTATTATTTTGGAAAATTAGAATTTATTAAATTATAAATTCATTATTTTCATATACACTATATGTTAACCTTCAAATACGATCAGTAATAACACAGACCGACAATTTTCAGGTTGAAAAACTAAACCTCGTGTATCCGAAGAAATTTGAAGTGCTTAATCTAAATCTGGCTTCTGAAATACTTTATAATCCTATGTTTTCGTGATATTCTTACATAAAAGTGCAAAAATAATGTTTTCTGCTTTTTCTGAGCTTTTCTTATATCATGAATTTTTATTTTTTTGAAAATCTAAACAAAGCATTGGAAAGAAGAAGTTGTCTATTTTTAAAAGCACTACCAATTTTTTGAAACAGATTTTTGAAAGCTGAAATACCGTAGTTCAAATAGCAAAACTTTAAGTTTTCAATGGTATCGTAATACTCATGATAAATGTTCCACGATGTGTAATGATAGATTATGTTGCTTCATTTTCGATTAGCGATTATATTTCCTAAGTGCTTTATTTCTGATTAAACCGATCTTTACATTAGGGAAGTCGTTCGGCACGATGTAAAATTCTAAATGAAATATATAAAATTGTAGTGACACTTTCCTTAAAGTATATACACTCTTGGGCGATATATTTCAGTTCAAACAGTTATAGGTTACAATAATTGCATTTTTTGGTTTCTTTGCTGGTTTTAATAACGAAACGTATGTACCTGTATTTATAAAGAAACCAAGTGTTTTCTTATAATTGGATATCACCAAGATAGCTAGGAATCGATTGTTGACCACTAAAAGTATAGTTCTTAGTATTGGATTATTTATTACTTGCCCTTGATTTTATTGTGATTTTCGGGTAGCGCCATTAACCTAAAAACCTATCTCTTTCCCTGACTGCTGTAGGTTTTCGTTTCTTGCAAGGACTTGACATTCTTTGTGAGGAATGGGGGTCGCGCTCGCGTAGAGAATAGGCGTTTTCTTTGTTCTTTCTTGTGAAGGAATTTGGTAATTTGTCGTGATCGGTGAGAGAGGTTTCGAAAATAAGTTTGACTGTTAAAAGTCGAGTGAAGCTGACTCGACTCAGAGTAGAGAATAGGTAGCGGAAAAGCAAGTGTTTGTTATTATTTTGGGTCATTAGGCATCGGCTCGTAGGGCGTACATCGGTGTTTATACAGACTGTCTAGCTTGCCATTTTCTTTTTTCTTTCTGGAAAATTTTGTTGCTGACGCGTCGGATATTTGTGTGCATCTAAAGTGATGAGTGTTAAGAGTCGTACAGACGTGGGATCAATGCGTGCTTGCTTAAGGTTTGTTTTGTTTTGGGTAATGTACGCGAGCTGTAACTGTGCGTTCGTGCATGAGGCTATAAGAAAGAATTTTTATTTCTCTTCTATATCTTAATCTGTCTCTCGTGATCATCGCTGCACGGTGTTGCCGGCACGAGTCTCGCACTGAAAGCTTTGTTTTGAGTTGAGTCGTCACAAATGGACTCGAGCTCATTGCAGCACGAATTTCGCATCGGGGGCCATGTGGGGCGGTGGAAGAGAAAGCGTGGATGGGGTTTCGTGGGACGAACGGTGTGAAAAAATATTTTTTTTAGTTATCTATTACGATTTAAAAGTGATTTTCACAATAAAGCTTAGTGCACTGTCAGAAATCTTTTTTAAATTTATAATAAGAGAAGCGTGCTCACAATCGATCATAAGCGATTATACCTACTCAAATTTTCAAAGCATAGAAATAAGAAGTCAAATGAAAAGAACATAAATCGGTTAAGTATGACGATGTATATGTTTTAGTCATTGAAAAATAACTTTCTTCATTTTAAATGAAATTGAAATAATATAAATTAAACAGAAAGAATGGATGCAAAATATAGATATATATGTGAATGACTTACATAGTTTTGATTATTAGATTTTTCATATGGATTTTTCATATTTTAAAAAATGGGAAATTTATTTAGAAACAAACTCCCACGGTGAAGAGCTAACCGCCACTCCGTTAAACACGTATGATTGTACGTATATTCGCCTTTACGTCAGATGATTTCGCTTAATTATCTTCTATCGAACGGAGTTGAACTCACCTTAAGTCGCGTGCCTTATGACCCTCGATGAATCTTAGGTGTGGGCGACTTTACGCCTAATCCACTTAATCCCCTAGATGTAATCGGATTAAAACCTAAGTCTTTTAAAAATCGCTTAAGCTACTGGGAAAATTAAATGACGTAATCGGCGAATAAATTTGACTAACTTTAATTAATAAAAATAACTACAGTCTTTATTGGGCCGAAAGACTAACGCTCGCGAACAGGATTTTACAATGAATACTATTCGGTGAGAGAGAGACAGAGAGATAAGATTCGAATTTTACCGCAAACTAACGCTCGGAGCGAATACAAAAAAAATCGCTATCACGATTGACAAAATACTGAATGTATTTTGTCACGCAATAATGACGGGAGGTGCACCTACCCTGCGGTGCAATTACGGCGATCAGCCGTAATTGTTGATGAAATATATCAACTGCCGCTACCCTCCTGTTTATCAGCTGCACTGCCTCACTCTGCCTTTACTCTGCTGCAATACTGCTTCTGGACTGCTGCTACTTGCTACTGCAATACTGTCGTTGCACTCACGCACGTAATTGTCCCAGAAAATCTTTAATAACGGCGAAACACGGTGCAAAACAATATCGGCAGTAAATTCGCGTAAACAGCTGAGGCGTAACTGTTTATTCATATGATCGCGCGCCCCCTTTCTCTTAATTATTCGTACTAACGCGCGAGAAGCAGAATCGCGAACGGATCGATTAATTGAATCGACTACCGTTGCAGTTGAAATAAAGTATGTGTAAAAGGGATTATTAATTCTTATAGGTATTTAATATGTTTGACGAATGGCATTACAGACACTTATTTATTTTATTTATTTATTTATTACTAGAGTATACATTCATTAATTACATAGCCAAAATAAACATACATTATACAATTAATAAATTGTGTAATCCAGCAGAGGAAATAGTATTTCTGTTTGCCGGTCTGGATATACTTAAACTTAAAACTAATAAAACAAAATAGAAGTAATGAAACAAGAAATATATATTTGTACAGTCCGCTTAAAATTTTATAATCAAAAACTATCAAGTCATGCAAACTATTATAATTCAGTTAATATTATACATTTATCACCAAAATTGAATGAGCATTGTTCTGGCTGTAGTTCTATTGCTGTAAGTTGATTTTCTGTCACTTGCGTAGCAGATTTTCTCTATGTGATTAAATCTGGCCGGGCATGTAAGTCTTACTGTATATGTGACCTTATAATGGGGAAACATGCTTTGATGTTGTTGAGAAGAGTAGCATTTACAGTTTGATGTGAAGACTATGTCATCAACAACTATCGTATCTTTATGCTTAGATTGGAATTTTAGTCCTTAAACGGAATTGGTATAAATTTGAGTACCTTGTATTCCTCTACAGAAGTAAAGAGTAGCTTTATTATTGCTTAGATAACACAGGTCTGCAAAATCAGAATTTTGATTGTTATAGAAAAGCCATAGGTCATTTCTGAAGTAATTTTTGGCGTAGAAAACGAATCCGGAGTCCAAATTGCTCCATCACGTCAGGATTTTGAGATATCCTAACCTAAAAATGCGAAAATAGTGGTTTTTTGCTATTTTTGAGGCTATGTAGCACCGCGGCATTCTCATTAATCAGAAAAAGACCAACGACACTTTAAAGTATAAGTCTGACACTTTCAAATACCGTTGAGTTTGCTCAAATAGCTCATTTCTGCATCAAAATATTCCATCTTGAATTTTTCAAGTTTCATGAATTTAGTTGTTTACTTCGTTGGTAAACTCACATAGTTCTGGAGAAAAAGTGTTTGACTAATCGCCTTTCTTTTAAAAAATAAACAACTTAACCTCAGATAGGCTAACATGACTTAACCCTCAAGTATTTTATCCAAATACATCTTATGAACCCTCATAAACCACCCCTACAAACCCCCAAGCAAGCTAACCCACCTAACCCTGGGTAGAGCGAGTTTTATCGACTGGTTTCCTTGAAAAAGTTGATACCACAATCGCAAATAAAATGAGCAGACTCAATTCTGATGGATCGTATCTCCACATACCTTCACACACCCTCACTACCCCTATAAACCACCCCTACCAACCCCCAAGCAGACTAACCCACCTAACCCTGGGTAGAGCGAGTTCAATCAACATTTTCCATTTAAGCAAACTAAAATATTAATCATATGTAGACTAACACTGTTTAACGTCTTCATAAAGGGATGCAGGATTAACGTGAGTCCCCTCGTCTCTCACGAATCGGGGTGCTGGATTTACGTGAGTCTGGATTTACGGGGCGCTGGATTTACGTGAGAACTGGTATCTTAGATTTTTGTTTGCTTTTTTGTTGCTTACGAATCGGAATCTTTGATATTTGTGTGGCCTTTTGCTGATCGCTGTCGTCATCTTTGTGAAACCGTTTTTTCTTTTCTTCTAGTGTTCTTGTATTGGATCGTCTTTTGTGTTTGGCATTTGGCTCATCACGTTGAAGACACCAGCAATAGTCTGCCAACATAGATGGAGACCATTTTCCCTGATAGCGACGTTTCATTTCTTTTATATCTTGATGAAAACGTTCTCCTTGTTCTTCACTTTCATCACCTAAATTCTTTGGGAACCAGTTCAAATGAGAATGCAAAAAGTGTAATTTAATACTCATGTTGCAACCTAGTTTATTATAGTTAACTAGCATGTCTTTTACTAAATTTTCATAATCATTTTCTTTGTTATTTCCTAAAAATCCTTTAACAACTTTTTTGAAGCTGGTCCAAGCATTTTTTTCAACGGAGGTCATCACATTTTCAAATTCAATTGTTTTCATCAGTTGACGTATTTGGGGCCCAACAAAAATACCTTCTTTTATTTTTGCATCACTTAAACCGGGAAATG